GGGGAGATGGCCATGATCTTTGTTGTTCTTTGTCACTTTGCTTCAAATTCTTGTGATAAAAAAATAGTTACAGAACAGATTAACCTTATTTATATTGAACCATATGGGCAAATCTGACTTGGCTCACAACCAATTTGGGTCACAACCAGTGTCGTGGAACAGATTAAGTTGGTGAGCCAAGGTTCCACTGTATTAGTTTTCATGCCCTACCATTAGCCTACTGTAACTTTAAGATGTAGTATTGCCTCTGTTTACTACTCCCCCTTTCTCTGATCCCCAGGTTGTACCTTAGACTGCATATTCCTCTGAGCAAGGACCTGTGCTGTGTATGTGTGAGAGATCCAGTGTGGTGTAGTGGTTCAGAGCGTGGGACTGGGACTCAGGTGGTCTGGGTTCTAGTCAGCATTCAGCCATGGAGTCAACTGGTTGACTTTGGGCCAGTCACAGACTCTCAGCCCAACCTACCTCACAGGGTTGTTGTTGTGGGGATAAGATTGAGAGCAGCAGGAGGAGATTTATATAAGTTGCTTTGAGTTTGTTGTAAGGAAAAAGCAAGATATATATATATGACTAAATGAATAAGTAAAAAAGCATCATGCATACTGGAGGTGCTACATGTATAACCTTGATAAATAATATTAGTAAAGCACAACATCTACAAAGTTTCTTCTTTCCCCATACCTGTAAACTGGGCACAGCACATGTCTCCTATTGCTGGACAGAAATCTGGAGTAGCAGAGACTTTGCCACAGTATTCATGCAGGGAAATTTGAAGTTCAGAAAGTTTGCCTGCCGACATAAGCATTTGTGAAAATTGTTACACAAAAGCCAAAATACTGTCTTAAAAGCACAGGGTGGGGGAACACTATAAGCACTTTCTTTCTAATGTTCACTGGATTCCTGAGAGACTCAGCTGTTGCTTGAAAGCAGTTATAGCCCTTCAAGGTTAACAAAGGGAAAAATTAGTCATTCTATTGGCTCATGTAACATATCAGATTATAAAACATAGTTTACATAAAATAGAAGCCATATTCATTTAGACTGAATAACTGTCATACAGAGACTCATGTCCTGCTACGTGTCTACATTTTACTTCTACAAAAATATTTCCATTTCAACTTAAATGAATGAGGACTTACAGCCATTCCCCATTTGCTGACAGAAAAAATCTCCTGGTGTTTGTATATGGGCAACCACACCCAAAAATACATCTCCTATAGATAATGAGATAACCTTTAGAGTTTGATAGCTTCTATGATCCAGTCCTTTACACTCATCTTTCTTTGCTTGTATGGGATTCTTTTCCATAGTAGAACCTAAGAAACATAGAATCTGCTATCAAAATCTGATTTGTCAGTTCTAGTTACTTATAATATACTGTAAGGTTCAATATCCTGAAGCCAACCACATTTCTGATGCCAACCAAGGCAGTTTATGGAAACTACAGCAAATAAAAATCAAATCCAATAAAATTACAGCAAAAATTTTAAAAATCCTTTGATCCATAACAACTTAACACACCAAGATGTGTCTTGATGTGCTTCCTGGATATGCAAAAAGGGGAATCAGTCACAACTCAGAAAGGTGTGTGTTTCAGAGCCTGGGAGCCAGAAAAAGAGATAGGAAAAAATATATTTTTCTGCATGCCTCACATGCAGGTCCCTTCAAATCACAGTCTCTTCAAAAGGGTCTCTCCTGCTGATCCTTATAACCAAGCAGGTTCATTAAGCAACAGGGCCCATTAAAAGACACCCTCACAGAGACCCACTTGATTTATTGTGAAGCACATGGTTCAATTTGAAGTAACCATTTTATTATTTCACTATTCCTCTATTTTCAGTTAAAGTTCTCTCAAATGCTTCCTAAGGTTAGCTGTACCTTGTTTTCACAAAGACATGAATAAAGCCTGCCTAATTAAAGAAACAAGAGACTTACCAGTAGCTGAGTTTTCTTCCTTGATATTCATACCCTTTGAATTCCAAACATGTCCCATTTCCATGAGTATTTCATGTAAATGTTTACCTAAAACGCAAATGAGTGAATATCCATACAAAGCTAGCTACACTCCAAAGGAGAAGGAGGAATACAAACTCTGTCCACCATCCAAAATAGGGTGACAATACAGAACCATATAGAATTTGATGAATGTACTGGCAGAATACTGACAGTGTAAACCTATGTTTGCTAATTTGGAAACGAACCCACTGCTTTCAATTGAGATTATTCCCCAGAAAGTATATTGACAAATAAGACAGAAAATGTATTTAAATATAGTGGAATCAGAAAACCTCTCAGGGGGATGATGATTCAGTTGCTACTCAAAAATTGCTAGAGGGAAGGTTAGAAGATGGCAGAAAAGTGAAGACTGCATTTAGGTAGCATACAACATGCGGTGGGTCTTTTTGCTAGTTTAGTAAATTTGACCTCAACAGTTGCTGTTTAACTAACAAATTCAGCTAAAAAAGAAAAAGAGTACTGTCATCCAAACTCACCACAATCTGGCAAGACAGCATCTACAGCAAAGTATGGCATCATCTCACCCACCAAAACATCGACAATAGTCAATAAACAGTACTTTCCTGTGAGAACTGGAGCAATAGCATTATGGTAGTTTGCATTCCACCCTTGTTTTGCTAGAAGGACATTAGCAACGCAACACTTAATGGCCTGAAAACAAAGCAGATACATTTTTTCAGAATGAGAGCATTTTTAGCCACTAGTGTCTTTCAAAATGACATTATTACAACTCACAGATTGAACATGAAAGTCCTTAAACAACCTCCACAAATGTCTCCTTTAAGCATATGGCTACTATAATTTCTCTGTGGTACAGACAAAACCGTTATTCAGTTACTGGGTACAATCTTACGCATGTTTAGACAGAAAAGATGTTCTACAACTCCAGCCATGCATGCAGCTAAGACATGCTGAGACTTCTAGGACTGTTTTCTTATCTAAACATGCACAGGACTGCAACCTCGGTTCAACATGCTTTTTAGAAACACCATGTATCCAAAGTGTTCCAACGAGTACCCCACATTGAATCAGTGATACAAATGGTAGAAAGCATTATTCCTCACTCCAAGAGTAGTATTAGTGCCCCCTGATAGGTTAGCAATCCCATCTAAGAGTGAAAGCATACAAAAACATGGAGACTTTAAGACAGGGGTCTCGAACTCGCGGCCCGCGGGCCAATTGCCGGGACAGGCGGGGCACGGGGGAGGGGCCCTGCGGCCTTCAAAGCGCTGGTGCTGCCCGGGCCGGCCACGGGATGAGCGGCCCTCCACCCCCGCGGTGGTGGAATACTTGATGCGGCCCAGCCTCACCCAGACAATACTTCCAGAGGCCCCCAGGTAAGTTGAGTTTGAGACCCCTGCTTTAAGATGACTTAAATGCACTTCAAGTGGCAGGTCAACAAAACCACAGTTGCACTAGGAATGTACATGGTCATGGTTCATGTTACATGAAAATATGCATTTCCTTTGTTCACTTTACGTTCTGAATATTAAGAGATAATAATTCAACTTTTCACTATCCAGAATATGCAGAGCAGGTTATTTGACACTGTCTTAATAAAAGCATGTGCTTCTTCAAAGTTCATAAAATATTAAAACTTTTACTTACACAGGGAGGAACATGAGAAATCTCTTTATGCAACTGTTTAATTTTGTTCAGTGGAACATTTTCTCTGTTTCCGTAGTCAATATATAGCACCCAAGCATTCTTCTTAATGATATCTACCTCTTCTATAAGAGCTCTGTACCAGTTCTGAACATGAACACATCATTTTAGATTCAGAAAGTTTCAACTAGAACCAGTAGCTACACTTTTCTTTACTAAAAGGTGGAAAAAGGAAAACTGGTTACTCACCATAAAGGTTCCTTACAGTTTGGTGTGAGAGAAGTATTAAGAATGGGTTAAATGCCCTAGTACTCAAGGAAGACAGACATCATATGACCAAGTTCTAACTAATTCAAGTTACCTTGTCTCTCCACCAAAAATGGCATTCAAGGCAACCAACAGTAATAAAATACAGATTAAATACCAATTCTTGATTAAAAGGTACTATCAAAATTAAAATGGAACAAATAAACATCAACCAGTTGCAGCAACAAGCCACCTCACTTGACCACGACTTGCATGCAAACAGATCAATAAGAAGGGAGCCAACCTGGCCTTCCTCAGCAGGCATTCCAGAAATGAGGTGCAGACAGTGCAATAGCTCTCATGTGTCTCCACCAACTGTGCCTCTAATGGTGATGTTACTGAGAAAACAGCCCTCTCCTGAATTTTTTTTAAGCTGTGCAAGCTTGTATGAGAGAATGCAAGCTTTCCAAGTCATAGTGTTTTGCAGGCCATTACCAGCACTTTGGATTGTGACTGGAAACAAATCAGAAGCTAGCATAGCCGGATGCAACAAGGAAGTCGCTCGCTTCTTGCAACCAATCCTGGCCACAGCATTTTGGGTCAGCTCAAGTTTTCCAACACCTTTCAGAGACAGACCTGCATAGAGTACATTACAGATGGGACATAACTAACACATGTGTCACTGTGACATCTCCAGGAACATGCACAGCTGACAGATTAGCTTCAGTTCTGCAAATGCACCTGACTACTACTGAAACCTGGAAATCCAGATTCAGGAGTAAATTTGGGAGTAGAAGCTGATAACTTGTGCTTCAACATGACCCATATTCAACCCTGAGAGTTATTGTGTTATTTGAATCCAGTCAATTCGTGCTTCTTTAAATAGAGAAGTTGGCCCTGGGATTCAATGTGCATTTTACCAGAGTTGAGTCAAGTGCTCCCTTTGGTGTACAAGGTCTTTATAGGCAATCACAGCAAGTTAGGCAGTTCAAAGGGAAAGCATGAGGCCAGGGAAACCTCTCTAAAGAGTCCAACCTCTCAGAGGCTGTGCCCAGCAGTGGCTGAAACAAAGAACAAAGCTTTGGTTCATACCACTGAATAGAGGACTGAAGGAAGCTCCCTGTCTCTTAATTACTTTTATCACTAGCTAGTTATTCATGATAGCATAGCTCAACATTCAGAATGAAAGGTGGCCATAGATGGGTTGGGTGGGTACTTGGGCAAGATGGGTTAATGTTTGACCTTAGGGTTGTTGATGTTAGTCGCGAAGTCCTGTTCGACCCATCGCGACCCCATGGACAACATTCCTCCAGGCCTCCCTGTCCTCCACCATCCCCCAGAGTCCATTTAAGCTCACGCCGACTGCTTCAGTGACTCCATCCAGCCACCTCATTCTCTGCCGTCCCCTTCTCCTTTTGCCACCTATTGTTCCCAGCATTAGGTTCTTCTCCAGGTGGCCAAAGTATTTGAGTTTCATCTTCAGGATCTGGCCTTCTAAAGAGCAGTCAGGGTTGATCTCCTCAAGGACTGACCAGTTTGATCGCCTTGCAGTCCAAGGGACTTGCAGGAGTCTCCTCCAACACCACAACTCAAAGGCCTCAATCCTTCGGCGCTCAGCCTTCCTTATGGTCCAGCTTTCACAGCCATACATTGCAACTGGGAAAAACATAGCCTTGACTATACGCACTTTTGTTGGCAGGGTGATGTCTCTGCTTTTTAGTATGCTGTCTAGATTTGCCATAGCTTTCCTCCCCAGGAGCAAGCGTAGTTTAATTTCTTGGTTGCAGTCGCCATCTGCGGTGATCCTGCAGCCCAGGAAAATAAAATCTATCACTACCTCCATTTCTTCCCCATCTATTTGCCAGGAAGTGAGAGGACCGGATGCCATGATCTTAGTTTTCTTAATGTTGAGTTTCAAGCCAACTTTTGCATTCTTCACCCACATCAAGAGGCTCTTTAGTTCCTCTTCACTTTCTGCCATTAGAGTGGTATCATCTGCATATCTGAGGTTGCTGATATTTCTCCCAGCAATCTTAATTCCAACTGGTGATTCATCCAGCCCCGCCTTTCTCATGATGTGCTCTGCATATAAGTTAAATAGGCAGGGTGACCGTATACAGCTTTGTCGAACTCCTTTCTCAATTTTGACCAATCAGTGATTCCGTGTGCAGTTTTCACTGTTGCTTCTTGACCTGCATATAGGTTTCTCAAGAGACAAATAAGATGGTCTGGTATCCCCATCTCTTTAAGAACTTGCCACAATTTGTTGTGATCCACACAATCAAAGGCTTTAGCATAGTCAATGAAGCAGATGTTTTTCTGGAAATCCCTAGCTTTCTCCATGATCCAGCGTATGTTGGCAATCTGATCTCTAGTTCCTCTGCCTCTTCGAAATCCTGCCTGTACTTCTGGTAGTTCTCGGTTCACATACTGCTGGAGCCTAGCTTGTACGATTTTGAGCATCACTTTGCTAGCATGTGAAATGAGTGCAATGGTGCGGTAGTTTGAACATTCTTTGGCATTGCCCTTCTTTGGGATCGGGATGTAAACTGACCTTTTCCAATCCTGTGGCCACTGTTGAGTTTTCCAAATTTGCTGGCATATTGAGTGTAGCACTTTTACTGCATTGTCTTTTAAGATTTTGAATAGCTCAGCTGGAATGCTGTAATCTCCACTAGCTTTGTTGTTGCTCAGACTTCCTAAGGCCCATTTGACTTCACATTCCAGGATGTCTGGCTCGAGGTCAGTGGCCACCCCATCGTGGTAATCAGGGATTTTAAGCTCTTTCTTGTATAGTTCTTCTGTGTAATCTTGCCACCTTTTCTTAATCTCTTCTGCCTCTGTTAGGTCCCTGCCATTTTGGTCCTTTATCATGCCCATCTTTGCATGAAACGTTCCCTTCATATCTCCAATTTTCTTGAAGAGATCTCTGGTCCTCCCTATTCTATTGTTTTCTTCTATTTCTTTGCACTGTTCATTTAAGAAGGCATTCTTATCTCTTCTAGCTATTCTTTGGAATTCTGCATTCGATTGGGTGTATCTTTCTTTCTCCCTTGCCTTTTGCTTCCCTTCTTTCCTCAGCTATTTGTAAAGCTTCCTCAGCCATTTTGCTTTCTTGCATTTCTTTTTCTTTGGGATGGTTTTAGTTGCTACCTCTTGTACAATGTCGTGAACCTCCAGCCATAGTTCTTCAGGCACTCTGTCTATCAGATCTAATTCCTTAAATCTATTTGTCACCTCTACTGTATATTCATCAGGGATGTGATTTAGGTCATACCTGAGTGGCCTAGTGCTTTCCCTGACTTTCTTCAACTTAAGCCTAAATTTTGCAATGAGAAGCTCATGATCTGAGCCACAGTCAGCTCCTGGTCTAGTTTTTACTGACTGTATAGAGCTTCTCCATCTTTGGCTGCAGAGCGCACAGTCAATCTGATTTCTGTGTTGACCGTCTGGTGATGTCCATCTGTAGAGTCATCTCTTGGGTTGTTGGAAAAGAGTGTTTGCTATGACCATCGCATTCTCTTGACAAAATTCTACCAGCCTGTGCCCTGCTTCATTTTGTACTCCAAGGCCAAACTTGCCTGTTATTCCAGTTATCTTTTGGCTTCCTACTTTAGCATTCCAATCCCCCATGATGATAAGGACATCATTTTTGGGTGTTAATTCTAGAAGGTGTTGTAGGTCTTCATAAAACCGGTCAACTTCAGCCTCTTCAGCACCAGTGGTTGAGGCATAGACTTGGACTACTCTGATGTCGAATGGTTTGCCTTGCATTCGAACTGAGATCATTCTGTCATTTTGGAGATTGTATCCCAGTACTGCTTTTTTTACTCTTTCATTGACTATGAAGGCTACTCCATTTCTTCTGAGGAATTCTTGCCCACAGTAGTATACCTGATGGTCATCAGAATTAAATTCACCCATTTCTATCCATTTCAGTTCACTGATTCCTAAGATGTCGATGTTCAGTCTTGTCATCTCTTGTTTGACCACACCCAGCTTGCCTTGATTCATGGATCTTACATTCCAGGTTCCTATGGAGTATAGATCTTTGCAGCATCGGACTCTCCTTTCACCTCCAGATACATCTGCAACTGAGTGTCCTCTCGGCTTTGACCCAGTCGCTTCATTCTTTCTGGCGCTACTAGTACTAGCCCTCCGCTCTTCCCCAGTAGCATATTAGACCTTCTGACCTGAGGGGCTCATCTTCCGGTGTCGTATCTTTTTGCCTTAGGGTAAGGGGGCCTTATCACACTTTGAAAGCACCTGTTTGGCATGCAAAGCATCCCTCACATCTTCAAGAGATTTGATAAACCAGTTCAAAGATACATTTATGGCTAGGGTAGGGAGCATAGCAATTAGGCAGGTATTTGCATGTATTGCCTGATCCCAGGGAAATACCCAGATTGAATCAAAGTGCCATTGCAGTCCCACATTTCTTCCAGGATTCCACAGAGAGGGCTGGTGCTGGTCTTTGTATTGCAGTAGCTTTCAGTCCAAGGTCTATACAACGTTTTTACACTTCTTTTGTAGCTGCAGGATTTCCACCTACACCACTGCAAAATGGCCTTCCACATAATCCTGAATATGGGGTAGACAGTTTTCAAGAAGAAGCCAGAATACTAACTAGCTTCTCTGAATGCCCTAGCGAAATCTAGATAAACATTTCAGAATCCAGTCAGACACCAGATGCTAGAACATAAGGAAGGTATCACACTAGAGGTGAAACCAATCTGAATGAAGTGTCTGCTCTTGAGATAGGAAATGAGGGAATTTTGTGAAGAACTACTCTGGAGCCATCTGGAGAATCTCTGAAAACCAAGGGCACGAGGGACTTTCTGTCCCTCTTGCGCTAAGACCTATATGAATAACCAGGGTGAGCAGTTACCCCTGTGTAATGGCATCCCCCCAATATCAAGAGCCTTTGCTCCTTTTGTATACAAGGAAAGGAACTTAGCAGCTTGTGCTTCCTCAGCGAAGTTAACAGGCTGTAGGCCAAAATGTCACTGCAGGGTTTAAAAAATGACCAGATCCAGGGTCCACTCACCTGGGTGAAGACTTTAGCAACTGAAAGAGACTGAAGTGATTAAAGCCCTTGGAATGTGTTTTGCCATGAGCAAAATGCCATTGCGCTCCACTCCAAGAGGACTGGTGGAGTTTCTCTGTGAAGTGAGCAAGACAATGCATCGCACTGGCAGTTTAAGTGTGCCTTTCCCATATTCTTGTCTGCCTTTAGCGTGAGACACAACTGGTGGAGTATTTGAACAAAACTCTAAGTGCCAATCAGTTTGCACCAAGATTTTTCCCCAGCAACAGGCTACTCAACTGTCTAAACTGGCAGCTAGAGTCACCGAAATGCCAGGAAAATCCTGAAAAGCAGGTTGAGGCTTTTCTTATAGCAGCAGCAAGGTTCTGATTTCAGGGAGAAGGGTTACTCTGGGTTAACATTTGAGGACATTTTGTCCCCAAGGTAGGCAATTATGAGTCCTACATTACATACCAGGTCTTCATTCTACCATTCTTCCCCCTTGCCTTTTTCTGGTACATTTGTACAACTTAAGTGACCTGCATAAACCTACAATGTTGAACTGCATATTTTGACAGCTTTAGTAAAATTGCATAATACAAACTTGCAGACATTTAGCATATTTTAAAAACAGATGACTTCAAGTTAACCATCCTATCCTGATTCCCAGGCATCAATTATCCAAATAACCCAGCACTTTCCATCAGACTGATCTAGTGGAAAAAAATCTGAAGTAACTGGTATAGAAGGTTACCCTGCAATTGCTGGGACATGGCAGCCAGAGACAAGACAAAAGCAACAGAGGCACCAGGACCAGGGCAACAGAACTTCAGGCAAGACAGAGTCCAAAAGCAGGGCTTAATGGCAAGTCCAAATCGCAGTCATCAGAAGTATGCATCAGGGCAAACAGGACGTGGTAAGGAACAAGCCAAGGGTCAAGAACCAGGAGAACAAATAGAGCTGTAGGTACCTTGCACAGGATTAAAGAGCAGGACACATGGCACAGCACGATACATGAGGCAACAGGAACCAGATGCAGCAAGGTTCAGGCAAGAGGCAGGAACAAGAGCAAGGCAACACGAAAGACAGGAACCAGGGGCAGGAACCATTAGGCAGGATGCAGGCACAGCAGCAAACAGGCAAACCTGTGTTACTGAGGACATATGGCAAGGCAGGAGACATGGCAGGAAGCAGGAGCAGGACCAGTCCGGTGGGATGGAGGCACAGTAGCAAGCAGGTGGACCTGTGCTGCTGGGGGAACGCAAGGAGGCAGGAAAGTCTATGTCGCCGAGGCCAGATCTAGAGGAAAGAGCTTGCTCTTTTACAGCTTTTCCATGAGGGCTCTCAGCTGATGCTCATCTGTGGAATGAGAATTCCACAGGACCCTGCAAATACAGTGGTGGTTGTGCTGGTTCTGGCCACCACAGCAGCCCAGATCCAGACGGTAACTAATCTCTCTCTTTCACAGGCTACTCCTTGCTCTTCAGTTATACATACTTCAGGATGAGATTGAATCATGCTTCTAATCTTTTTGCTAATAAATATTTTCTATAAATCTGCAATGTTGAACTACTGGTAGCATGCTCTTTTGGAAGGCCTGCCAAAAGTCAATTGGACACTATACCTGTTCAAAGATTAGGTTACCTGATCAACAGAATATTTTGCAACACCAACTTCTCCTCTGACAGGAACATACTCATCTTGATTCACCCCACTGTAATCTTTCAGCTTCACAATAAGTTTGGTAATATTACTTAGAACTTCTGATGAGTTGACTAGTACAAAGAATTCATCAGGATTATGGAACTCCGTTATTGTGCCCTAGAAAGAAAGATTTGCCAAAAAAAGCTAGTCTATAACAACAGGGGTATTTATTTTAACTTTTTCTAAAATGTAAGAATACGAACTAAGATTGTATTCTGGTACTCAGTATATACTTCTAACATTTTTATTCAGTGCAGAAGATTCATGCTGACAATGAATTTTATTTTTATTTACTTTTGCACAGAATACTATCTGGATAGCTGGGCTCCTCATACAAGTAAGAGTACCCCCCCGCCCATGCAGGGAAGATATCAGCTCCCATGAATTAGAAAACAACAGTAATCAAAGGACGAACATGTCTAACAGTTACTTGGCGATGTATTAAATTTCAAACTTGAATGAATTGGAAGCAGAACATACCTCTATTTTCATACTTTTTTTGACCCCCAACGTATTCAGATCAGAAAACATTACTCTGTTAGCCTGCTCTTCTCTTTTCTCATCCTGTTCTTTTATTTTGTTAGTGTTTGTAGACAGCATGTTTTCCTATTGGAAGCAGATGGTTACATCTCTTTATTAATCAGAACATGCAGATATACTGTGAGTCATCTAGCATACTGACTAAATCATGTGTTCACCTTTGGAAAAAACTATTGCTCAAGTCACAACATAAACTAGCTGAATGAAGTTAACATAAGGAATTGTTCCTCTGCCTTCTTTCTCCCACAGTTGCCACCCACTCACCCACCTCCAAAAGTATTCCTGGAGGTTTGATGACTCTTCCAGAACTCCACAAGATCTGGCATGGAGGGCTGCTGGATGAAGCATGCAAAACTGGACAGACTGCCACACTATTTGGGGCAAAAATGCCTTCCTCCAGCAGTCCTGCAAATCCAAGACAGCATTATTCAGCTCAAGACTCCTGACCTTCTAGATGGCAACTTTTCTCGGTACTGGCAACTGTAAGTTATGAGGGGCAACAGAAAACATTACTTCCATTTTTCTCCTCTATCTTAGGATCTGTACTATTGTGATGTAGAAACCTATTAACATAAAAGTCACACACAGAGCACACTTCTGTTAAATTCCAAGTCAGACAAGCCTCAGGCATCAAGCTGCTGTTAACTTACTTGAACTCACAGCTACACAAAACCGGCTGCTCACGTGACAATGATGAGACATACAGAAATGGACAGTTTTGCATGCCACACATGAACTGTCTTTGTACAATTTAATATGTTAAGGGGCAGCCAAGCATTTCAGAGACATCATTTTTATGTTCCAATAAATTAAAGGTAAACTTGAACAAATTAATATCAGCAATCATTGAGGAAATAGAAAGTTTACATTGACCAGAACTATAGACTTTTTTTGTAGTTTCACTTGTTATATAAGTCATTACTGCTGAGCTAGCATGTTATCTCACATTTCCATTCCATAGGAAATAAAGTTTGCATATTTTTCAGCATAGAAGCATATTAATAGCACTATGAAAATCCTTGCCAAATAAATTGCCCCAGTTTTGAATCAAATACTACAAATATTGCAAGCTGAAATATAGACCTGCCTCATTAGTGACTACAGGAATAATCAGAGTGAAGATACGATGTAGAAACACGTTTCCCATACTAAGAAGTGTGAATTATTTCAAGAAAATGTTATGTAAAAATTTTAGTCACCATTCTGATATTTAAACTTCAAAATGGTATGTGTTAAATGCAGTACAATATTTTCTTTGATCAGCTAAGGAGGATGCAATTTAGTGTGGGAATCACTGAAAACTATGTCAGAAATAACGATCATCTATCTCTATTGTCACGTTACACCCTCTTTATTTCCATTTATATGATGTAATCATCTGTACTGACACTTTTATAGAACAGGCAAATGTCATTTTCAGTTTCTACAAAAGTAATATTATTTGCATGCTATTAAGAGAGAATACTCTGACCTGATATGCCTTCATCATGACAAGTACAGAGAGTATTCAGATGATAAATAGAATAAGGAGTCCAAAATGTATAATGTGGGAAAGGATGAATTAAACTGTCACTAAGATTCAAAGGGTCAGGACAGGGCAATGACATTTGAAGCCACACTAGAAAGAACTAGAACAACCGAGAAGATGTTCATAATCAGATACTCTTTAGTTAGCTAAATGGATAAAATGCACAGCAGTAGCTATAAGCTATAGCTCCTGAATTGATAAGGTGCCCATCTATAACTAGCACTCTGGTAGAACCTAAGGAAGGTATCACACTAGGGGTGAAGCCCTAGTTAAGTGAACAGTTCTCAAATTAATGTGGAACACAGAATCTTGGCTGGGATATAAAGAACCAAGGAAGTACAGATTACTGTGCTCACAGAATTTTGAACTGTCTTGATTTGAGGGATCTTTGTGCTTCTTTAACTACTGCTCTGAAGGATCACTGCCCCTTGTATGAAACTTTTCAAGGACATATGGGGAGGAACTAAAGAGAAAACTAAACTTTAAAGCCCTGTAGGTATAAGTTTTCTTGTAGTTTTCTGGAAGCCACACCATCTCTGCTAGAAGCCCCTTTAAGAATGTTCAAATATATCAGAAACCTCTTGGAAATCAAATTGGCATATGCAATTTTATATACAGTACAATCCACACATGGTAACAATTTTCACCCTCCACTACCAAAGAAAACACTAGTTATACCTTTTTCTTGGTTTCATCAAACGTTTTTGCATTGTCTTCAACATTATCTGTACTAAAAAAAGCAATTTTATTTGTTAGCATAATTGTTTGCAAAGACTTTAATGCACTCCCCACATTAACCCGCTTCAAGTAATATGCTCTTTGGAAGAGACCTAAACTAGTTCTAGTTTATAAACCTCTGTTAATCAACAAATACTAGGACATTTTTGGTAATGATATTCTTGTTTGAAGCCAGAAACAAACACCAGGGCAGATTTAAATCTGCAAACAGATTTAAGATTAAATTGCTAAAGCTAGTGTCTGAGAGATCTAAAAGCATCCAATCTAGAATTCTAAGTAAATGGAAGTAAGATTTCTAAATGCAATACAACACATGAAGAACAGTACCCATTTGAAAATTAGAAAGCATGCCAAGCATTACATCAGTACAGTATTAGAAATCATCCTCAGTTGTAATTCTAATTATTTGAAAGTCATTATTTATGTAACCAAAATGGCAAGAGCCAGCCAAGGCCTGCCGAAGTATTGCTCCCTTCCCCTGCAAAACAAAACTCTGGAAAAAGAATCCTAATGGGGAAACTCCCCAAAGACAACTCAGCATATTGGTATGCAAGTTCACTGACTGAAAGGACTGGAATGGAGGACTCTGTACTTTCAGTCTTTTGTTCCAGGTACCACTTCAACATTATACATATTCTCTCTCTCTCTCAATTGTATTTTACACACACACACACTCTTCCCCTTTATTTCAATATATCACTAAGGCAGTTGGAAATGTTTATCACACTTGGATCTGTGTTTTCTTACAAAGGTATCAAGATACCACAGAGTTTTCATATTTCGTTGTCACATGACATCTGCAAGTTGTGGGATTTTGCAGTAGTTGCTGAAAACTAGCCATATGTAGCTTGTGACCCTAGATGTACATGCTAATTCATAGCAAGAGCTCAGTTAGGCATCAGAATGATGGATGCACACCTATATATCTTACCACAATATGTTAAGCATCCTAAGTATTATAATTTGGGTTTGTTTGTTTTGTGGACCCAGGGCAACTGTTAGGAGCTAGATAACATATCAGAGGGCTTTGTTTAAAAGGTTCATCACACTATGTATGCATTCCAACACAAAATTGAGCAACCATCTAAACAAATCAAGCACAATTCTAGTTAATTGAGAAGTCTTATGCACTTTAAAAGAGCATTAAACTTACTTCAGTTTGGCTGGCTTGCAGACAATGCTATGCATTTGCCAGTCTTTCTGCTGACAATCGAGAGAACAATAATAAATCTGCTTACACTGTGTACATCTCAAAGATCCTGAAGAAAGTAACAAAAATCCAAAATTGTTTTAATCTGAAATATATGCTTAGTAATTTCTGATTTTGTACCTAAGAATATATTCTTAACTGTGCTTACATTAAACAGGTAATACTTCAGTAAACTTCAGTCCATACAATCTTGAAATACTAGAACTCCTATAGAAAACCCTTATTAATGCTATTTGCATACTTTAAAAACCAAGTGTGATTTCTTGACATAGGAGAATATGATGTTAAATAGTTAGCCTTACATTTTTATATCTTCTATGTAAAAGAACTGATATGTGCTTATCTGTATTATAATTCTTCATAAGCAATTAAGTAATATTTTCACCTCTCTCATTTCAAAGCATTCTAAACTCCTATATTTAGTATTGATTTACAAGATTTATATACCACTCCATATTCTGGTATGAGGACTCTGAAGTGGTGAACATTAAAAAATAAAACAGATTTTTAAAAATCAAACAGTATATTAAAAACAAAACCAATAAAACTAGAGCTGATTAGTTCAGCAAGGCTTCCTGATATAAAGAGTATCTTCAAGAGGCACTGAGGACACCACAACGATGCCACCTGCCTGATCTCCAAAGAAACTGAATTGAAGTCCCTTCTTCAGACAGACTCCAGTTGGGCCACAGGTCCATATGGAACCACCAGAAGCATGTCACCCAATAACCTCAGTGACTGGGCAGGTTGGTAAAGGAGAAGGTGCTTCCTGAAGCATCCTGGTCCCAAATTATTTACAGCTTGTACTCCAGTACCAAAACCTTAGAGCTAGTCTAGTAGTCATTAGGCAACTAGTGCACTTTACTCACCAAAGAGGTGTACCCTAAAAGGGACACGTCCTAAAAACAGCAAAGTTGCTACATTCCAACCCAACTCTGGATCAGCCTTAAAGAACAGCCAAATTAGCTCGGTAGTTGAGGAACCAGTCAAAAATAGCAAAAGGTATTCTGAGTTATCGTATTTGCTTGGGACTGCAGCCACAACAATGGATCTAAGAGTATCCCCAGACTATGAACCCCATCATTCAACCAGAGTGCAACTAATGGAGAATTAGCCCATCTCCCAGACTTGAGAACCACTCCTTCAAAGGAGTTGTTTTGCCAGGATTCAGCGTCAGTTTATTAGTTCTCAACCAGCCCTTCTATGAGGGCTGTACAAGGAATCTATCTTTTGTGGAAAATCCACCAGCTTACCTTATTTTAACAGCCCAGAATCTAAGTTTGTGGGGCATTCACTAGAAATTAAGTCAAAAGCAAATGAATGGAAAAGACAATTGACCACTGGAAAAGGCTTCTGGTGAAGGGTTACTGGTTGTACAGCCTGGGGTCAGTGAACATTCGCAGACTTCCTCTTGGCTTCCCTCACTTTTCAGGACTGCACCAAGCACATAAGGAAGCCTGCAGAGTCTGGAGGTTTGGATTTTGAAAGGATTTGTTCCAACCTACCAGGCACACACTGGTCTGTTCCAACACTTGCAACACCTCATTGTATTCAGATTTCCCCGAGAGATGGAGTTGTGTGTTGTCAGCATATTGATGGTACTTTGCTCCAAAACTCTAATGACTTCCAGCAACTTCATACAGATGTTAAGCACTAGAAACCCAAGGGGCTAAGGAGTAGTCACCCACTAGTCTCTGAAGCTGACCCCACAGCTAAGACTGGAAGCACTGTAAAACAGTGTCTCCAACACCCAGCAACCATTGATATGGGAGAATATCATAACTAATGGTACTGAACGCCAAGGTCAAACAGAATTAACAGTGTCATACTCTCCCTGTGCCTCTTTCAATAAAAGTCATCCACCAGGGCAACCAAGGCTGATTCTGCTCCATAACCAGGTTTAACCCAGACTAGAAGAGCACCAGATCAACAGTATCCCTTAAGAGCGTCTGCAGCTATACCAGGAAAACCAGCTCAGGTACCTTCCCTAAGCAAGGGATATTTGTGATTGGGTGGTAGTTGTCAAGTTCTACTAGATCGAGAGTAGATTCATTCAGGCACGATCATACTATTGCTTCATTAAGAACAGCAAGAGTCATCTCTTCTTGCCTCTCCCTAGACCCATCCCACCTTCTCACTGGAGCTCACACTGAATTCTTTCCAAGTGAAACGCTACAGAGCAGTTAACAAAAACTTACCCAACAGTCCACAAAAATGGCAAGCTGGCAGATGTGAAAGGTTTAGTGGATCACTGTTCAAGACAGGAGCGCTCTGTAAACCTCTCTGTTTTCCATGAATCAAGCCAAAGCCAGATACCTGTATTGTTTAGAATAATTTAGACATATATGTCTTAGAACACATAAGATGTTATTTCATGGTTATGTCTTGAAAAGAATAGCACAGACACCACCCATTTTCTTTCAAAAATAAATGATGACTTCTCCATAATCATCACAATCCAAAGTACAGGTAGATAGTCTCCACGCAACCACACACTAATGAAAGAAGTTGAAAATAATGCTGACATTAGGACAGATAGTGGAGGCGGGAGCAGCAGAGAACGATTTAATCTTGGTAACTCACAGGTTGCATTTCCTTTGCAGAAGATGACAGCAAGTTACCAGCACCAAACTTTGTTTCCAAATTCCCTAAAATATAGAATAGTAATATTTCAACATAATTTCCAAAAAAGAGGATAAGCAGAGTTAATTAAAACATCTCATCTCCTTTGGTTCTGCACAACAAATTAGGATTGCATTCTATAAACACTTAATGCATAGAACTGAATTCATTTAAGTTCTAAGTCAATGCATATAGAATTGCACAGCAAGAGGTTGCAATTCACCACCAGCTGAAATCATTAGAATTTTGCTCAATGACACATTTATCATGACACAGCCTAAAAACTTTCAAAAATAAACTGCACTCAAGGAAGTAATTATGATCAAAATTGAATAGCTACTTATTCCTCTTTTATGCTAATGCTTGGAGAGTGGGGTTGTGCGATACAAAACCAGTTAAAAACACAAAAAGCTCAAGAAGTTAAGAATGAGGGGAGATATAGTACTCTTTAAGTACTTGAAAGGCTGTCACAGAGGAGGAGGACAGGATCTCCTCTCAATCATCCCAGAGTGTAGGACATGGAATAATAGGCTCAAATTACAGGAAGCCAGGTTCCAGCTGAACATCAAGAAAAACTTACTATTAGAGCAGTCTGACAATGGAACCAATTACCTAGGGAGGGTGTGGGCTCTTCCACAAAGGCATTCAAGATGCAACTGGACAGCCATCTGAAGGGGATGGTTTAACCTCAAGTCCAGTACTGCACAGTAGGTTGGATCCAACAAAGGCCCATAGACCGGACTCTTGTCCATTCCAATTATACTATTCTATGATTCTATAAATTACACACACACAGAATCTATACAGATTCTATTAATATAAGTATTAAAATATGCATTGCTTAGATATTGCCAGGAGCTAGATTTCAAACATCCAAAATCATAGACAATCTCTTTGCAAAATAGCTCTTTATTAGTCAAGTCACAGCTAACAAGCTACAGAAACTGAAAGGCTAGTCTCTGTGAATGAACAGAGTGGCTACCTGAACCCAACCTGGAAACTACTTCCAAATATCTTCCTTTTCAGTAATGCTGGCTCCACCCCTCTGGATAGGTCCCTCTTTAGAAGGGCTATCCTTTGAGATCTATTCTGTCCTGACATATCATGAGGTTAGGGACTACACTGGAAAAGACAAACTAGGCTTCCATTTCTCCTTTGTCCTCACCCTTCTCTTCCAAACCCTGCCTGTTCTCACGGTCTGTCTGAGTATCTGGAGGCAGCAACCATGAGATAGTCTCACACTCCTCTGACCGCTCAATTCCCCCCACCCCATCTCCCAATCCTTACTGTTCTCCTCTGAAGAGCTGTTGCCACCCTGACCTTGGAAAGCACACCAAGAGTGTTTCACTGATTACCAACAGATATATCTGTTTGCAGACTGATGAAATACACAGCAACTTTCCAATCCCATTCTTGGGTGGCCAATCAAAAAATGCAAGATAAAACTGTAGAGACAATACATTATCCCTGTTCCCATCTAACAGTAGCAAATCAGAGGTTAACTCATGATTTACCATGGTGCATACTATTGCCATTCTGGATATGCAAACTCCAATCAGCCAAACTAGAAGTACTTCCACAATGCCCAAATCAAGGCAACTTTGGCTTAATTGTGGGTTAAATTCCAAGTTGGAATTTTCATATTTAAAGAAACACTGGCATGCATACCAGCAAATCTTGGGTTAACTTAACCCATGATTTGCTGCCATCACATATGAACCAGGGCACAGTTCTGCACAAGTGGAATGTCCATGGATTTTTTTTAAACTATGGGGACACAGAAGGACACAGCAGTAAGTGTGCTGCCTCTAAATTACTTGCCCCTTCTGCTTTGGTAAACAACCCAGGAACTGCTGGTTGGTTGTTGGGTTAAAACTTTAGGTTGCTTCCCTTTCAGCCTTCCAAAGTGCTGAGTCTGGATGCCACAGAGCACAATCCAGAATGGGGAGCTGTCAGGTCATTTATGAAAGCAGAAGAGGTGGGTGATCAAGAGGAAGCACAGTTATGCAATCCACTTCCACTGTTTTAAAACTTCCACTGTTTTAAAGAATGATGTGCAGTCATTATGTTATACCCAGGCTGTAGGATATAAGAAATGTAAACTATTTTAAACTGGGGTTTCATTTCTCACCTTTTAGTTCTCCTCCATTCATATTTGAGTTAATTACTTTTTTGTTAGAGCCATCAGGGCAACCATCATGGTTGCTTTCAGTTAAACCACTGTCACGATTTGAAACAAACAACTTAGTCTGGTCACAAATTGAAAAGTTGTTGAGTAAAGCTGGCGTTTTGCCTTCAAGTAAAGAAGATCTGATGTTGGGAACTGTACGGGAACATCTCACTGATTCCTTTGGGATTTTCGTCTCTTTATTCCTTATATGAAGCATCTGTGCCATCTTGTGTAAATCCATTTTGGAATCATTCCCCAACAACTTTAATAATATTGTTTGCCAACTAGGAAAATATTTTTTTAAAATTAGCAACTAAAAAAATTAAGTTGTAAGAAGCAAAATTTAGACTACCAAATTTTAGACATTTAGCAAAATTTTACTTTCACATAATGCAATAACATTAATCACCATCTACTTCAACTGTAAACATTTCAAATTCAGTTTACAAAAGCCAAACCAAAAAGTCTCTTCAAAGTAGCAAGCCCTTCAAAATTTATGCAGCATCAGTTTCCATTTTTTGAAAATGAAGAAAACAGTGGGAAAAAAGCTTTCAAAATGCTTTCACAATTAGGCTGCACATCAAATGTTTTGGACTAAGTTTCCATAAACAAACTACCCCATGTTCAGTTTTCTGTATTTATTAAAATCAGAATAAAAATTATTCTAAAAGAAGCTTAAACCATTTTAATCACTCATGTGTTTTTTCAAAGAATTGTGACAGTTCTAATTTTGTGGAGGTACTGTATTAGCAACTCTCATTCCACTAGCTTCAAAAACCCTTATTATTTATTATTACTATTATTAACACTTCCGTACCGCCTGTAGCCAAAGCTCTCTGGGTGGTTTACAAGAATAGTCAAGGAATCACACATTCAAATCACCCATCCAGATTCTAACCAGGTCTGATCCTGCTTAGTTTCCAAGATTAGGCAGGATCAGGCACTTTAGGCTAGCAATTATATATTCCTGTTAATACTGACATACCCTTATAGAAGAGTCACCTGCACAAAAAGGTAAAAGCAGAAACTGAAAAAGAAACCTGCTGCCCTCCAGATATTTTTGTACTAGAAATCCAACCATCCCTGAGCGCTGACTATGCTGGCTAGGGTTAAATGAGAGGTAGCCCACTACATCTAGCAAGCATCTGGTTGTTTCCTAAATCATATTTGTCTGCAGAAATTCTAGGAGGATCACATTAAGTCCATAATCCTCTAGTTGTTGCATGTCAACTATGGAAGAGGACTCAGTTGTCATATATATTTGACAGATTCATTATTCAAGTATAGTAAACATCAATCAGCAAATACAGAAACTCAGCAGAAAATTTCCACAATACATGACATTCATGATTGGGAAACTACAGATGAATTCCACAAGACTTGAGCTAACCTTATCTGGAGATTATTGGGCTAAGCATAAACACAGAAGGTCAGCACTCCTCACTCCCTATAAATATATCAATTATTTTGTCAGTACATGAAGAGGAACAGTGTATAAAACCTTGGACATGACTGTGATGTAAGCTAGAGATGGGCCTCAGGGCCAAAATGCAAAGCCCTACAGTTGAGGGGACCCCCAAATTGACCACTAACAAAATAGCAGGTGAGGGAGGCAGCAACAGACACGTTCAGCTTCAGCACCAGGGCAGACACAGGCATGTTTATGGTCCACCATATGAATAAAGCTCACTGCACCCCCTTTTTTATCACTGCTCAGTTTATATTACTTTCAATATATATTGTTTACTTGCACGATAAAATGGTGCTTACTCCCAAGTACACTAATTTAGTGCCAAGGCAGTGAAGGTGTATTCTAATTTAACTCTGTAGTGATGATAGTGTTGTGATCTAAGCTAGTTTAAAATGTGAAATTGCATGAGCTAACCCATTTATCCCCCATCAGGATTGTTTTCTTTAATGTATCAGGAATGTAGAAGCAGCTGTAGGGCTGTGAGGCAGGAGGAGTTAATTAAATGTTCACAGCTGAAGAAATACAAAAGGCTATTGGTGGGAACAAGTCTAGGCTCAGAAACGACCGAGGACTGCTTGGGTAAGAACTAGGAACTGTAATAGAAGAAGCTGTGATGAAGAGCTGGGTAGAGACTTTATAGTTAACAGTACAGACTATCAACGATAGCTCTCTGAACTGGTATAACTGCACCTTTCAGGCAGAGACTAGTTGTTGATCCACTATGGGGTTTTACATTTAATCGCCAGGGTCACAAAAGTAAGAAGGGCGCCTCCAAAGCCGAAAAAAGCGAATACCTCCCCTTGCTCACTAGCGGAGCTGACATTGGGCGACTCATCGCGAGAGATAGCTGAGAGCTTCCTAGCGATTCTCAAGGCCCAAAGAGAAGAATCAGTACAGGCCTCTTTCTAACTCGTTCATTTTTCTCAGTTCCGCTTCACTGCACGTACAAATTCGGCCTACGGACGTAAAACGGCCCAATTTTACGCCTTCTCTTAGAAGGAAGCCCTTTGATCTGAACGACCTTCATTTCTAGGCACCAAGTGCCACCACCATCCTTCGCAAACGGCAAGGAATTAGAAATGCGGGCGGGGATGGGGGAGAGGAAGGAGCCAGAGGCGTGCAAATGCTATCCCGACACGGACACTACCTTGCCGAAGCCTATCGATTTCTAATCCGGTTCACCCTGTCCAAGCAGAAGGCTTTTATGAGAGACAGTCCCAGGGCCAAAAGGCCAAGGCCTGAACACTCAGCAGGAGCAAAGATGGGACTTGAAGTACAACTGTAAGCAAACAACCCGGCACGCGAAGGAAGGAAGGACCTCAACGCATCCTTAGTCACAAGTCGCAATGCGGCGCCGCCACCGCGAAAGAGCAAACCGCGCAACGCGCCCAGCTTCGCCGCTTTCCTCCCTTACTAGCACCTCGTGCAGCGTGCCTCGCAATCTTCCGCTTACTAGTTGCAGCGGCGCAGGCGCCACTCTTCAAACGCCGACGTGCCGCCCGAGGGTGAAAACCTTGAGCGGGAGGAAAAAAACGGGAACGAAATAAAAGGCACTCCTCTTTGCAGTTCTAGACTGTTGGAAGAGTGCTAAGGAGCGGAGAGGCTTCGCGCTCGCGCCTTCACCTGCGCTTTTGTTCCATTTCATGATGCAACGGGTTGCCCTTTTCCATTGGTTTTGCTTGTAGGCTGTTGCAATTATGCCTAGCCGTATGTATTACTCACGTACTTGTTACTGAGACAACACGCTTCACTGCTGGCTCACGTACCCAAGGGTGTTTTGCAAGTGAAAAATCTCCAGCATAGGTAGTGAACTCTGCGCCGATTCTACCGTGCTTGCTACAACTATATTCCCTGATTACCTCTACTCTGTTTTCTACCACGCTCATTTATGACATCACTATGACTTATTAAGCGCTGCACTGCAGTGTGCTTTATAGGTGCATTGAATATGTAGAGAAAATCCGATGCCCCCGTTTTTTCTTTTAGTAGATCATGGACAGGAAAATAGCAGTGGCCTACATTTTATCACACTCCTAGAGGGATCCTGATCAGCGGGGCACCAGGTGCTCTGTTTCCACAGCATATAGAAGAATCACCAGGAAGCTTGCTTCAGTGGGCTAAATGCAGTGATGTCTCTTGAATCTCGGAATAGGACAAAACTTATCATGCACTTGTGCCTTAAAGTTCAGAGCTGATGTTTATCTCAGTGAGAGCCTCATTGGTCCAAAAGCATGAAGTAAATGTATTACAAGGATTTAATCCAGCACAATTCTAATGTATCTATGCAGAAAGAAATTCTACTGTGTTCAATAGAGCTGATGCCCAGATACGTACAAAATTGCAGCCAGGTTGTAACTCACTGGAACTTATTTTTGAAATAGTATGGCACTAAAGGCCTCCAAAAATACTCTAAAGTTTTGAAAAAGTGAGGCATGCTATGATAATCCATTTATTCATCACAAAACCAACAACTTTGTCCTATGAAAATTATTCGATGCCAGTTTCTGTTGCTATACAAATCAATGTTTCAGATTGTGTGCATGTGTACAGTTTTTGCCTTTTTCCACCACAGATGCAGTATTTAGCATGATTTCTATGCCACTTTTTTGATTCCAAAGAATTCTTAAAACATCTTACATAAAATACACTGCAATGACATTGGAGCCACTTCTGTTTGTTTCAGCACATGGCATCTGGTGTAATCAGGCATATAATCAGTAAAAGAACAAATGAAACATCACAGCTGCATTTAAACTTTACACTTACTGACTTCTGAGGTCAAGACATTTAAAATCCCTACATATATATTACAAATTTAGGATTATACAGGTTTAACTGACATGGCTCCCCTAAAGAATCACAAGCGCTATTTGATGATGGTGCAAGATGCTATCTGTTAGAGACACCTAGAACTTATAGAATCACACTTCTCCAGATTTCCAGGGAAGAGGAAAAGGAATATGGTTAAACCAGCCCCCAGTATAATCCTCTTCCTGAGTATGTGGGTAATCCTACTATGGTCCAGAGGGTTTATTCCCAGGTAAGTGTGCATAGGATTACCTACGGCCTGCTGAATCCTATATTCTGCTATACCATGTTATGCTCAAACTATGCTTAAAGCAGTTCAAATGTTAGACCAGGAATTTAAAAATGAAAAAATGCATGTTGGGGCAAAAAAATACGAAGTATATGCTGATGGGATCTGAACTAGCAGTGACTGAGCAAGAAGGCGATCTGGGATGCTGGTGGATAGCTCAATGAAAATGTCAAGCTAGTGCACAGGTGCTGTGAAGAAGACCAACTCCATGCTACACACAATTAGAAATGGAATAGAAAATAGAACTGCCAAGATCTTACTTTCCTTAAACAAATCTTTGGTGCGACCACGCTTGGAATATTGTGTTTAGTTTTAGTTCTTACTCAAAAGGAAATTGAGTTGGAAAACATACTGAGAAGGATGACAAAGATGACCAGGGGGCTGCAGCAGCTCTGCTATGAAGAACAGCTATGACCACTGAGACTGTTCAGCTTAGAAACAAGGTGAGACGTGCTAGAGGTGTTCCAAATAATGCATGGTGTGGAGAAAGTAGAGTGGGAGACATTTTCCTGCTTCTCCCATAACACTCAAGCCCAGGGTCACCCCATGAAGCTGATTGACTGGAGGTTTAGGACCAATAAAACAAAGTACTTCACATAGGGCGCAATTAAACTATGGATTTTGCTGCCATGGGAAATGGTGATGGTTGCCAATCTGGATGGCTTTATAAAGGGATTGGACAAACTCATGAGGGAGGAGGAGGCTATCAGTGGCTACTAGCCTTGCTAGCTCCTTTACCAGAAGTGGAATCCTTGCATAGATCAGTTGCTAAGGAGCTTGAGCAGGAAGAGATCTTGCACCCATCCTGCTTGCAGGATCCTGTGGGCAGCTGGTTCGTCACCATGTGCATGGAGTGTTGGGCTAGATCAGGGGTCGGCCACCTTAAACACTCAAAGAGCCATTTGGACCCGTTTCCCACAGAAAAGAAAACACCGGGAGCCACAAAACCCCTTTGACATCTAAAATGAAGGTAACACTGCATATATCGTTTTTTTACCTTTCTGCTATGTATAAAAAAACTATAGTGTGTTGCATTTATGAAATCAATGATTCTTTTACATCATCTCCATCTGTGAATGGCTTCCCATGCCTGACTATTTCCTGAGCGGCCACAAAACTACCATGTGTAGTTGAATTTGCAGATTTAATCCACTTCTTGAAATGATTTTTGCTCAGATCAACCTTCCACATCAGTTCTGAAATAGCTTTTTTTTTCTCATCTCCATCCGGATATTTTTCAGCAAAGGCTGTGTGTTTATTCTGGAAATGTCTTGCAACATTCAACTTTTTGTTGTTTGCCAATTTCTCACCACATATTAAGCATACCGGTAAACCAGTCTTGTCATCAGTGAAAGCAAATGAATCTGCCCACGTACCATTAAACATTGTTTTCTTCTGAAACTTTTCTTTTCTTGGATTTATCCATGGTTGGCCTACTGGGGGTCGAAAAGCTCAATAAATCGCGTGCCGGCAAGTGTCGCACATTGGCGGTTGTGACACATATTTTGAGCAACAGGGAGCCGCAGCACAGGGATGAAAGAGCCACATGCGGCTCCAGAGCCGCAGGTTGCTGACCCCTGGCCTAGATGGACCTTTGGTCTGATCCAGTATGGCTTTTCTTATGTTCTTATGACTTGGAAAATCTGAATTCTAGTCCATATTTGCCACTGGGTGAATTTGGACCAGTCATAGATTCTTAGCATGACCTATCTCACAGGGCTGTTGTGAAGATAAAATGGAAAGGGAAGAAAGATTGTGTAAGCCACCTTGGACTATTTTCAGGGAAAGGTAGTATATAACTATAGTAAAGTTCACTAAATGCAGTGGCTGTTAACATCCTTCTGATCTCAGTTTGAAGTGCTATTCAGTCTTAAACCGTAATGCCATAAACAGCTTGCCAGAGACAAATCTTGACTTAAATACTCCTGCAATGCAGTATGATCTACTTTAACAGTCCTTCTCAACGTCCTTAAAACTTGTTATGGTAGTATAAAAAAGAGATAGGGCTTTGTCTGTGGCGTTCCCCCAATTTCCTATTGACATGTTCCAAGCATCTTCCGTATAGCAAGCAGTAAATTGGTCCATGAGTTCAAAGCAGCTTCACAAAGTAGCTCATTACTCTGTCTCACTATGTCTTGTATCCAGGGCTTTTTTTTGTCATAGAACGCACCGGAATGGCGTTCCGGCACCTTTTCTTGACGGATTTTTCCATGGGATTGTGAATCGCCCTATCAGGCGTGGCAGATCGGCAGCAAAAAGCATTAAAATAGTGCCTGCGGGCTGCATGTGTGTCGGCGCTGCTCGGGAGGGCGCTGTTCGGCTCGGGACGCTGCTCAGCTTGGGATCAGTTGTGTGGTCACACGCTCAGTGCTTACTGCTGGTGGCGACCATTATGTTTATGTATGTGTAGAGCAGGGGTCTCAAACTCGCGGCCCGCGGGCCAATTGCCGGGAGGGGTGGGGCACGGGGGAGGGGCTCTGCGGCCTTCAAAGCACCGGCGGCGCCCAGGCCGGCCGCGGGATGAGCGGCCCCCCATCCCTGCTGTGGTGGAATACTTGATGTGGCCCAGCCTCACCCAGCCTCTACTTCCAGAGGCCCCCAGGTAAGTTGAGTTTGAGACCCCTGGTGTAGAGTGACTGACCTCAAGAGGTGAGTTCCGGCACTTTTTTTTTTTTTTTTACAAAAAAAGCACTGCTTGTATCTGACCTTACTCTTGATTGTTTTCTGCCTAGGGACGCTGATAGCCTTGAGAAGCGGGTAAAATACTTCAATTGGTGCAGAATACTTCCGGATACTTCAATTGGTGCAGAATAGAGCTGCCAGGCTGCTGACGGGGACTGGGCGTTGTTCTCATATAACCCCAGTTCTCCGTCAGCTCCACTGGCTCCGATTGAAGTCCGGGCCCAATTCAAGGTGTTGGTTATGACCTATAAAGCCCTCAATGGCTTGGGTCCTGGGTATCTAAAGGAACGCTTGCGTCCATATATGCCCTTCTGCCCCTTGAGATCAGCAACAGTGCCCTTTTCTGGGAACCCTCTGTGAATGATATTAGGAGGGTGAGTACCCGGAGGAGGGCCTTCTCTGTGGTGGCGCCCCACCTATGGAATGTGCTCCCCAGAGAGGTCCGCCTGGCGCCATTGTTATTTGTTTTTCGGCGCCAGGCTAAGACCTTTTTATTTAAAACTTATTTTAAGTGTTAATTTATTGGTTATTTGTAGGATTTTAAATTTTTTAAGCAGAGATTCACTGGGTTTTAATATTTTTATTGTATAATTTTGTTCTTGCTGTGAGCCGCTCCGAGGCTTTGTTGCGATGGGGGTGGCATAAAAATATTTTAAATAAATAAAAAAAATAATACTTGAAAGGCACAATCCTGTGCACATTCAAACCAAAGAAACATGCCTGGCTAGGGAATTCTGGAAGTTGAAGGACTTCTGCCTAAACAATCATAGTATATTACTCAAATATTTAACTCAACAAAATGTAAAGAGCTACAAGAACCAACATTTCAAAAGGCCAAAACAAGCGGTACTAGTAAATTAAGATTACATCAAGATTAAACAATCCATCAACACTTCATACAAACAAACAGAAATACAAAAAACTAAAGTTAAAAGCTGGAAAGTATGTCTTAATGCTTTTGGCAGGTGTACCTTCTAAACAAGACCACGTGCCTTCCAGGCTAGATGGAAAGGGCTGAGGTGAAAAAGAAGGAATTCCATTCTTGCACTCATAGCCAAACTGCCCTTTCCCAATTTTCATACCAGCAGCAGCTGCCTAATGCAAATGAGAAATGAGTATGCAGCACAATGGCTGTATAGAAAAGAATGTTCTGAGTAGGCTTGCTACACTGAATTTTAAAAAAGCAATCTTGGGTTGTAAGAAAAAACCCGAAAATCCTTGAGGGTAATAAACAAACTCAAAAATCATGACCCTTCCCCCGCAAGTGTTTGAGAGCTAGGTGAAGGTGGGAACCTAAAGGCTGACTTTGAGATGAAGTCTATATAGTCAGAGTTTCAAGACGGAAAGGGTGGAAATATTCAAATTAGGCTCTGCCCAAAGATGTTACGGTTTCAGGTTGCAAAAGCTAGGACAGTTGAGAGCAACTAACAAGTGATTGTCTCTCATTTTTAAGAACATAAAAATCAAGCTGGCACTCTGAACTGGCTCAATCCTTGAGCATTCCTAGGGTAGAAATCAGTAGAGAGAAACTAGATTGCTTTTAGAATAAATGTTGGAGTGCATGGAATTCCTGGGGACCCACTACAGGAGAGAGCTATTGTTCTGTTTGTGGTTTTTCCAGAGGCATTTCAGGTACATCCTTAGTAGCACGTCAAATACACTGTAAGAACACCGTCCAAAGTCCCTTGTTACAACACTGTCCTAATAAGCATAGCATAATTGGAAGTAAGTTCCATCAAAATCAGTAGTACCTTTGTCAAGTAACCCTAACTAAGAAACGACTACAAGCGAGAAAGGCAGGGAAAACGAGTCTCGCCGGATAAGGACGTATGTCTTAATATTAAAGCCATCAGTTGCAAAGACGTAAGAAGTCAGTTGTTGCGGTAGCTCAGTATTTAACCACTCTGAATCATCCCGTCATAACGCCGGTTTGATGGTTTTGTGGGCCATGCCACCAACAACGAAATTTACCTCCCGCCATCCCACCGGCTTCATTTTTACCCTCATCTAATCCCTTGCGGCGTTGAGGGGGAAGCTTGCAGCCTGGCTCTGAACTGGCAAGAGAGCCACTTTAATCCCCCGAAACCCGCGCGGTCAACCTCTGAGCCGACACGCCCAGCCAGGTACTAGCAGGAGGTATCTCCTCCGCCTTGTTTACTACAACTCCCGCCGGGGACGAAAGATGATTTAGCTCTCGGTTTTGTTGCTGAGCAAAGCAACAGGAGGTGCACGGGAGAGAAGGAGCCCCACGCGCGTCCCAACCTCGGCATTCTAGCGGCGCCCAATCCGCGCTCTCCTCCCTTGCAGGGCGATAATCAGGTCTCGCTCCGCCTCTCAGCTGAAGCTGCTCCGGGTGTCTGCGGCAGCCATCTTTGTTGATGTGTCAGCTTTCAGACCTTTCTTAGGGGCTGCTTCAGGAACAACTGGAGGACAAGGACCCTCCCCCAGCTCTCCGGTACTCTCCATACTAATAAGCGATGGGAGCGCTGCTGCGGTTGCGACTGATACTCTGGTTTCCAGTTTCCTAGCAAACTGGTAAGAGCGTCCTGAGTGGGCAGGAATATACATCGGGCGGTTTGAACCACAGGAAATGTGGATTAGTGGATGCAGGCTGAGAGGAGGCATACGTAGAGCCTGTTACCAGGCAAGGAAGAGCAGACCTTGGCTTAGTGCGTTTCATTCCAATGGCTTCATCCCTTTACCTGCCCCGTGCTTCGGATCTTGAAATGGGTTTGACACCAGATGCTGAGCATTCAGGTTCCTCACATTGCCCTCGCTCATGGATCGGTTTCCAGTTCAGTAAATTGCATTGACTGTTAGTAATGGTATTCCTTGGGGGCTTTGTTACTGTTTTTCTTTCTTTTTTCTTCCAAGCGGTTATTTCGGATTATATCATTCGTGAAAAATTGACTGAAGTTTCCTGGTAAGAATTAGAAAAATACCTAGCTTTACTAGGAAGTAAATGAATAGAGGTGAGTGGCTTGCCCTGAAGGTCACATGTGAGAGGATTAAATAATACCTTTTGAATTCCTTTACTGGTTAGCATTTTAGGGATGCCTTTGTACAGGTGCGTAGGTGTCCTTCGATTACAAACCTTGCCCGTCTGCGTTGTACGATTTTTTTTGGTCATGTATCGAAAGTTGCCAGGGAGCGACAAATGCGGAAATCCTCTCTAAGCTTGCCTCTAAATATGAGTTCTTAAATTGTCCAATATGAGTTGAGTTGTTCTGTGAATTCCTAAATAAAATGTTTTGATCCTTCCATTCCATCTAAAGCTTTGATCGTTCCACCGCCACGTAGGGGTGGGGAAGAAGTATACTGGTTGAGTTTAGCTTTACTGGTGGATGATTCATATGAGATTTAGCGTAATAGAATTTGCTTGAATGTAGTGCAAGAGCAGGTGAGGTAAAATCCTTCTTTCTTTAAGGTTCAAGTCCGAACTAGATAGCTTTATAGTACACGTTGGCTCAATAACCTTTCTCATTTTGCACAATGTTTGCATTTAAGGCATTTTCTCAATGGAAATGTTAATTACTATTTGTGTTTCCACAAAGAAGAAAGATGAAGAAAGCCTACCTTTGATGCTGCTCTTATTTCCTGCATTATCAGAATGTAGCCTTTAGATATGAAATAGAAAAGGAGGGTAATCTTCCTGAGATTGTATAGATTGATTCTGTGCATGTTTATTTAGAAATAAATCCCACCAGGTACAGTGATAGTTAGCTGCCAGGTAGGCAGAGGATTTCATCCTTTGTTATTGTCTTGCAAATTGAGCTATAGACAATGAGCTCTATGACATCCCTGTTGCCTGTTAAAGCATACAGTAGTATGAACAAAGTCACTTACACTGTGGCCCCTGTCTCAGATAGCAATTTGTTCATAAACACAGTCCATTCAGTGTCTTTTCCCATTACTACAAATATCTTTCTAGAATATATTACAGGCTGAATCCCAAACATATTTAAATCAACAAGTCTTAATAGTTATTTCAGCATCAGTAGAAAAATAAATTTACAGTACAGGGCAGTATCTTGTATATTTATTTTGATTTGGAGGTGGGGGTGGGGTTAGGATTTTGGCAACTACCTCAGCTTTTGTGAAATAAAACAGAAGCTAGGTCATTATGAATATATAATCACATTTATAATTTTCTAATGCTTATTGTCAGACTCAGTTGCGTTAAAGTTTTTGATTAGTGCACTTGATCATTGTTATGAGGCACATGAACAAAGAAACTGTTGTTTTGTTATTCTGAATGGCTTGCAATGATACTCTAATTCTAAAATCAGCTCAGCAAATGTGTTTGTCTTGAATCATATTTCCCCTTTTTCTGGCTAAAAGAAATTCTCAGGGCAGCTTACAAAAACATTTTCATCCTTTTGTTTGCATGAAATGGTAATGAAAAGAAATGTTAAAAACAGATAAACCACTAGAGCTAATTGTTGGAATAGCATGATGGTCAGTTCACCCAAGGAAGCTTAGTAGAACCTTATGTGTAGAATCAGTGTTAAACATTAAAAATGAGTGTTTAGAATGTGTCACACCTGCTGCTCCCATTCAGTCATGTGACTTGTGACAAGCAAAACTCAAAAGGGAGTCCACTGGGAGTGTACAGTCAAAAGAACATTTACAGGTTTTTTGGACAACCAGGAAAATGACACCTGTAATTCTCTATTGGTACTTCAACCTGTTTTTATATATTATTTGCCTCTCTGTACTTGCATAATATTGTTTCAATAGTATAATGAATGACCTGAAGTATAATGGAACAGAACTTCCTGTTTACAAACTTTAGGTTGTTGTTGTTGTCAAGGCCTGATCTACCTTTACATGGCATTTGTACTTGCACAGAACAGGGATGAACAGGTTGTAGGCCTCCCAACATTTTGGGCTACAACTCCCATGATCCCTTAGTGTTGACTGTACTTGGTAAGGCTGATAAGTGTTGTAGTATCAAACATTTGGAGAGCCACAAACTGATACAATATCGGCTGGCATGGTAAGCAGTGCGGACTTTGATTCTTACCAATTATGATATTCTACCCAGTTGGCAATGGAGGGTGAGGCTGGTGGCAGGGCTCAGCAAGCTGAGGACCCTAAAGCTTGTGAGTACTTTTGGAAATTGGTGAAACTGCCCTGGGGTCCACAACAAAATGACTACAGGTGGCCCTCAGGTTAAGCGGTCTGTGCTTCAGAACGTCCATAAGTTGAATTTGTATGCAAGTTAGATCACATGAGTAAGCCAAATGTTTGTCTTAGAATATGTATGTATTTTACCTTCCTGTGCATATAAATCACTTAAGAAATACATCTGTATTCACTAAAACATCTTAAACACGATATAGCTTTGTAATCATGATAATAATAAAGTAATAACAAAGTAACTACAATACTGGAGTGGTGGTGAGAGAATTTGTATGTATGTGTCTAGGCATACAGTATACAGGAAACCACTAGAGTAGGTTTCTTGAAGTAGGTTTCTTGTAAGCTGTCCTGAGGCTCATGCGAATGGGACGGCATACAAAAATTATAAATAAATAAATTGGCCAAGAGGGTTGTTTGTAGTCATATAGTTCCCTAGAGATAAGTTGCATAACTTCTAGAGATAGCCCTGACTACCTCTAGCATACCTTTTTAGAAAAGCCATGAATATCTCTTCCTTAAAAAAATCTAAAATACAACTAAAAAAATTACAACTGAGATAAAAACATGTAAGATTAAACTTTCAATTAAAATAAATCTTACCCTCCACCACCAGGTTCATGGGATACATATTGCAAACAGAAAATTCATTCAAACATTCTTTCAGGACTTTTCCCCCTTCCAAAACTGCAGTGATTGTTTTGACAGTTCAAATCCTTTCCCCTTTTAAACACATACTCATTGAATATATTCCAAATCTCTATTTGTCTTTATATGCCCAAAAGCCTTAATATCTCTAATGAAAAGCTGTGGATATCTCTAGGAAACTATGCAGTCACTGATGATGTGCCCCCAAACATGACACGTTGCCTAGAGATATTCACAGCTTTTCACTGGAGATATTCATATAGGGTTTATGGTAATCTGCATGTTTATAAGTACGGGTTGTTTGTAACCTGGAGGTTTGTAACCCAGAGACTACCTGTATTGTGTGAGGTGTGCCCAAAAGACTTGAGTAGAAGGTGGAATTGGAAACTGAGCACATACTAAAGAATTCCTTTGAGCCCACGCTACTCAGTGCCAAATGAAACCTGTTTCATAAATAGAAAACTCTTCCCCCGGCCCTGCACACCCCTCTGCCGGACAACTCATTTCCTCCTACTCTTTTTCACTCATACTCTGGATTACCGCCCATATGTACACACTTCCTGCCTTTCTCTAACATCCATGCACGTCTTGGCTCACCACTCACAGACATGTTTACGCCAAACCTCTTATACTTACAGGTGCACATACATGTTAGCACCTCACACACTAGTCTGTCACATATGCAAACACACATGTCTATCCTGTCTCCTCATTGCTGCAAGCATATGAGAAAGCAAATGTGGTGTGGGGGAAATGCTCAATAAATTACTGTATGACTGGAAGCATACAGAAGAGGCAATTAGAATTCTACAGAATTATAGAATTCTATAAAAAAGAATCCTATATGAATTATGTAAAAATTATAGAAATGTGTTCCATAACTTTATGGGGAAAATTATGGAAAAAGTGTTCCTTATTAATTATTTTAGTGGTGATAGCCATATTGCTCATATTTTTCTTTTACTAAGAAAAGAATACAAGAATATTCAGTGCTTTTGAATAGAATGCAAAGTGTGGCAGAAAGTCTTATGTCAAGTGTTGTTTGTATGTTTTAATCATAGTCCTGCTCTTACGTTCAACACATTTTGTCAAATACACTGGTGTGGCAGTCACCACATAATCCTGTCTACTTCTACTCAGAGGTAAGCCCCATTGTTACTTAACTGTGGCTCTTCAGTTGTTTTGGCCTTCAACCTCATGATCCCTCACTTCGGCTATACTGGCTAGAGCTAATGGACCCCCCAGATGTTTTCTGCAGGATATCTATTCCTGGTATATAGAACTGCAACCTTAGTGTCCATATATGTATCACAATTAGAATTGTCATTCATGACTCTCTCCTACTAATGATGATATTGCAGCTTGTTCATGTGAATAAGAATGCAGTACTTTGTTCAGCTGGGACTGGATGTTAAGTTGACACAATAGTTGCTATTTACTGTGTCCATAGTCAGCAGATTAAATCAAGATGGCTTACCTGTTAATGAGGTATGTTAATACATACCACTTTTTTCAACATCCTTACTTGCAGGAGGAAAAATGGTGAGATACTAATGTAATAAAGAAATAAAGTAAATATATGTAATGTAAATACATTACATAGCTGAAATGGATGGTAAACACTAAATCCTGATACGCTGTGGCTGCTTACTGGGGAAAGCAGGGCCTTTGCAAGTGCTCAGGGCTGCTTTTCTTTTTTACTTTGTTACATGCAGCAAGAGTATCCTTGGGGCTGAAAACAGATT